TGTTGAGCAACTGTTGTTTATTCTGTTAAAAGTGATGTTATAATGCATTTTCTCCATTTCTTTTCCTGCTTTTGCTGTACACCATCCAGAGGCTGGTGGTTGGACTTGAACACAAAAATTGTGAAATAAAAAATAATTATTTTTGAATCAGAAAAAACAAGTCTTTGGTTCCATTGCTTCAGAATCCATATAAATAAATAAATGTGTGTGTGTGTGTGTGTGTGTGTAGTGTGTGTTTTCTCAATAGCTCTGCCATGAAATTATAAACTGAAAAGACAAAACCAGGAAGTCTGTTCTGTCCATTTGGGGTATGAGGCAAAGGCTGCACTGGACCATTTCCTTTCTTGTGCTCCATAGAAGAGGACAAGGAAAAGACCTTTGGAAAAAGACCAAATGAGAACCTGAAGTTGCTAGAAGAATTGAATACCCCTCCCCCACAACTAGCACATGAGACAGATCCCACACTGCCCTTCAAATAGTGGTTTAGATATCTTTCCTCTCAGAAAGAAAGCCTACATTGAATTTGCCAGTGCATCAACCTGCAATGTGCCATGTTATCAATATTTGCCTTTCAATACTTTTATAAAAAATTTCCCCTTAACATAGGGATCAATACCTAGGTATTAATGGGTACTAATTAATGGGTATTAATGGGTACTAACTAGGTATTAATGTTATCAATCCACTCAAATGAACATAATGTAATTTTTTTTAAAAAAAGTTCAAAAATATTCAAAAATAACTGATAACCCTTAAGATCTTAGAAATCTTGAGAGGTGCTGTGGTCTCACAAGGTTTGGGGTATTTTTAATTTTTTTAAAAAAACATAACACCAATTAGGCACCAATTTTGCTGAAATTTACTACTGTTCTAAAATAAAGACACAAATAGAAAGAAAGAAAAAACCCCAACCACCCTCCTCCAAATGGAGTTCAGTGGGTATTGTTTAGGGCTGACCCATTACTGTTCCTCCCCTCCCCCGCCTTTGGCATTTATTTATATGAAAAGCTTTCATATATGCAAAATCTTAATAATGAGGATTTCAGATATATATATTTTTTTAAACAAGTTTTATTTTCAAGACAAACAATACATAAATACACATAAACACAAAACATAAAAGCATAAAAAATATCTTTTCTGAAAGTTGCTTAGTCCCGGGTTAAAACTCTTGGTACAGACACAAGTTCAGTTTCATATTCATTTTACATACCATTTCATATCTTATTAACATTTTCAATTTTCTATATAACTTCTCCTCTCCTTTAAATTTTCTCAATTTTATTTTATTATTTTTTCCTCCTCTCAATTCATATCCTAATATTTATTATTCTTTGTCTGTTCTATTCCAGCCAATCATTTATTTTTCTTCTTTAAAAAAAAGAAGAAATACTTCTCCTGTACACTATATGGAGTATGATGCCTTTATCTTTTTCCCTTATATTTATAGTACCTAATATAAAATACATTTAACATACATTGGGATTCTATCTGGTACGTTCTAAAATTATACTATATTATCAAAAATAATACAAATCTATTCATTAATATTAATATTCATTCATATCTTAGACGTTTAACTCATTACTTTTCAATTAAATCACATACTTTTATGAGAGCCCTATTTCCATAATTATCCCCCCCCCCACATCACATATTATAGCTCAATATTACATTGAAATGTTCCTCCTTCTTCTACTTCAAATCTCATTTCACAAATTTTTTTGCTAGTATACCATGTTCTAATCATTAATTTTAACAATCATTTATATCTTAAATATTTTATCAATTTCAATTGAATATTATGCCTTTGTGGGAACACTTATGCTTTCCACAATTATTACCCCCTACATCACAATCTTAAATCATATTTCATTACAGTACTCTCTTTTTCTTAACAAAAATTTCACTTATTTATGTTAAATATTTTATCACATTTTAAGCTACATATTATTTCTAATTTTCTATAATTACTTCTAAATACAGATATAAAAATGCAATCTTATGTACCTTTCTAGAATCCCATTAACAATAAGATCTATCCATTATCTCTGAAAAACTTTTGCTTCTTAATATCCTGCTCCCCACCATTAGAGCTTCTCATCCCTTCCTTTCTCCCTTGCTTCTTCTTCTCCTTATCCTCTTTAACCCCTTGTCTCTCCACCTCCCTTTTATTCTGCTTTCCCCCTTTCTGTTGTTTCTTAACATAATGTCCCTTTTTCACCTTATTCTTCTCTTTTTGGGCTGTTTTTTCAGATCTTAAAGACCTCTTTTCCTTTTTCTCTTCCTTTTTCCCGTCTCCAATCAAAGTCCTTTTTTCATCAAAGATGGCTTTTTCTTCTTCTTTGTCCCCATCATCCTCATTCTGCTTCGCATAAATATAAACCGCCATTTCTAAGTATTGAAAAATAGTGCCAAGTCCATCTTCCCCTCCTTGTTTTTCTCTTTCATATTTTTGATATATAAGTTCCAATCCATCCACAGGTGATGCCATTGTGTAGAGAAAAAGTTTTTCCAAACAACCACCCAGATGATTTAATCAGAAATAATTTCCAAAGGTTCCAAAATCACCAAACAATCCAAACAGACTGTTTCTTTTAGATACCTTCTTCTTCTTCACTTTTTCTTTCTGAGGTTAAAGTAATCACAAATCCTTTTCAAATATATTTTTTGGAAGTTTTTAAACTCTTTGCAATTCTAGGCAATCTTCTCCTTATTTTCCAATTTTGCTCTGATTTTTTTTTCACTCTCCCTTCCCACTCACAGCCAAAAAGATTTTTTTTCCCGCTGTCACTTTAGGAAGGAGAGTAGAACAAAGAAAAAAAACTTTCCCCTTTAGGGTATTCGCAGCTTGTGGCTCTTACAAGGAACAATATATCCTTAACAGCTTTCAAGGTTCCAAATCACTTTCTCCCTTCTTGTCCCGGTTAAAAGCACCTTTCACTTTCTCCAGCTTTCTCCCTCCTGTACTTACTTACCCGGCTGCAGCTTTCTTCGTGGCGGCCATTACTGACCGCCGTTCCTCCGCCTCGGGAAAAGGGAGTTTAGCCGGCTGGGGAGGGGGTTTGCGGCACCCCCAAACCCCTTGCCAGATCCCCCCTGTCTTCAGCTGCCTCTACAGGGCAGCTATATCCCCCAGATCCAAATGGATCGGGGGAACCTTGGCGGCGAACGCAGCAGGGATCGCGCGGTCGCAAATCCCTGCCGCCGCCGAAGGCTAGCAAACCGGAAGTCCAAGGATTTCATATTGAGTGGTCCCTTAGCTGTTTATGAATTGTTCACCTGTTCTATTAGAAATTAAGAATGGGTTTAACAGATTAACAGAGTTGGAAGGGACCTTGTAGGCCATCTACTCCACCCCCCTGCCCAAGCGGGAGACTCTACACTGTTTCTGACAAATGGCAGCCCAATCTCTTCTTGAAAGCCTCCAGTGATGAAGCTTCCACAACTTCTGAGGGCAAGCTGTTCCATTGGTTGATTGTTCTCACCGTCAGAAAATTCCTTCTTATTTGTAAGGTTGAATCTCTCCTTGATCAGTTTCCATCCATTATTCCTTGTCTGGCCTTCGGGTGCCTTGGAAAATAGCTTGATCCCTTCCTCTCTGTGGCAGCCCCTCATATATTGGAACACTTCTATCATATCTTCCCTGGTCCTTCTCTTCACTAGACTAGCCATGCCCAGTTCCTGCAACCGTTCATCGTATGTCTTAGTCTTCAGTCCCCTAATCATCCTGGTTGCTCTTCTCTGCACTTTTTCTAAAGTCTCAACATCTTTTTTATAGTGTGGTGACCAAAACTGGATGCAGTATTCTAGGTATGGTCTCTTTAGGTCTTCCCATTGTATTTTCCTGCATTATCAGTGTAGATAATTTATAGTTTGCTGTGATCAACCCAGCATCCCTCCCAGAGGTGGTATTCAGCAAGTTCTGACCAGTTCTGGAGAACAGGTAGCAAAAATTTTGAGTAGTTTGGAGAACCAGCAAATGCCACCTCTGACTGGTCCCACTTCCATCTATTCTCTGCCTCCTGAGTCCCAGCTGATTGGCTGGGTCTTCTTTTGTTGCCCTGCACAGGAGAATGGAGCTGGAAAGCAGGTTAGTGGGGTGGGGAGGGAATGGAGATGTTATGTCTCACCTGTGCCAACGAAGTGAGAAGTCCAAGTTTCCAAAGGAATATACACAAGCAGACAAGACCAGTAATGACAGGGTTAAATTCCTTTGGCCAGGCAAGTTCTTGGCAGTCTCACACAAGCTGTCTGCCAAGTCCGATAATAAAGCAAGAACATAAATCACAGACTATTGCCACACATACAGAATCCATCGGAGCTGCTCTCACAAATTAACATCTTGTCCCGAACAAATTCTCAGAGCGAACACACCCACTTTTATTCTCTGTGGGGCGTGTCAGTCCCTCATCTCAGTCTCTAATTCTTCCTTTCCTGTTACGTTGCAACTTACACTTTTGCCTGCGCCGTTGCCTCGCATCAAGCCAGCATTCCTCGGCTTGATCCTCAGTCAGAGGCTCTGATACGTTCTCCTGATTATCTGCCGACACCTGAGGCACAATCAGGGGGGAAGGTCCTGTCAAGGAGGAAAGTCCTGGGGAGGAAGGCAATTCCAAATCCTCTAACAAAGCAGGCTCGAACCTCAGAGCCAAATCCTCCTCTTCCTCATTATCCAAGTCTGTGTCCTCTAGCAAAGCAGGCTCAAACCTCAGAGCCACAACAGGAGATTTTGCATTAAACTTCCCCCAGGAGTGCGGATGGAATGGAGATTTTACAGTATCCTTCCCTTGCCATGCCCACCAAGCCACGCCTACAGAACCGGTAGTAAAAAAAAAATTGAATCCCACCACTGATCCCTCCTATGAATATAATGTGCAGTCCCACCCCACTTTCCAGCATTTAAGTGTTCTTAACTTCTTTGGCATTGAAAATGGTCTGACTAGATATATGGCAATTCTCTATTTTTTAAGGAGGCAAGCCAAGCATCAAGAGGCAGTATAGGTTGTATTACTCATTTGTAGGAGAGAGAACTACTGATGAAACTGAACTTTAAAAACACGAGGAGTAGCGGAAAACAGGTGCAAAAAAAAAAAGAAGAAGAAGAAGGGCTGGCAAAATGTGGAAAAGTAAAGGAAGATACCCACATCTTGTTATTCACGTTGAAGACCATAGGAGAAGGTGAGAATCTTGTGTTTTTGTGCCTAGGATGCTTGCAGGTGGGCTCTGCTAAACAGACTGCAATTTATTATAAATCATATTTGGAGGGTAAAACGTGTTAATTATTTTATGAAGAACAACATGCTGCCTTATGTAGAGCAGAGGGGGGAAATCTTAAAATGCTTGGTTTTTTTTTCTTGTGGAGTTTACTTATGATTAAATAGGTGTGTGCACATACCATACTTGGAGGAAAAATCAGGAGAGAGAGAGAGAGAGAGAGAGAGAGAGAGAGAGAGAGAGAGAGAGAAGGCTTTGTTAACATTGCACTAAAGCTGGCCTCTGCTCTCCATAAAAGCTCATTATAAAAAGATTATGAACATATAACAATATGTTTTAAGTGGGTGGCAATGATCCATAAAATTAGTGTGGCTAATTAGCAGATCAAATCTTTATGAGAACTGGATCACTTTCATATCCTTGGGTAGTTTAATTCTGGAGGTATTTTACTGTCTACATATGTTTAGCAAAATTAAAATAACAGTATAAAATGTTCAGAGGGATTAAAACAACACTGAAATGAAACCAAACAAAAAAAGGTTGATTTTGCTAATAGATGAACAGAGAATCCAAGTGTTGATATAACATTACACAAAATCTAGAGCAAACAGAGTCTGAATCCCAGTCTCATTTCACATGTAATTAACCTTTCTCAATCAGGCTAAGCATTCTCATTTCTCCTTTTCCACTGCTTAGTACCCACATCCTTGGTTTTTTGTGGTTACAGGACAAACCTCCGTGTCGTTGTCTATCCATCATTGCTGGTGTATATCTACTGTAGTCCGGTATTCATTCTCTGCTTTCATTGAGAGACATTCAGCCCACAATTAATATCTTCTATTATTTTTCATATAGATGGATGTTTTTCTTAACCTCAGACTGTGAATGTTTTTTTTAAGGCTGACTGCCTGTCTTTGGACATGTGTATTCATTCCTAGATATAATTTCCCCAAAAGTGTGTTCCCTGGACTTTAGCAAGGTACCTACAGGAGCTGAGTTAGGAACTGGTGGAAGGCAAAGATTTAGCTTCTTCCTTAAAACAAATAATCAGATGAAATTGACAAAGGAGGACTTGTGTAAATATCTTTACAGTTCCTCCCTTGAAAACAATTCTCTTTGGGAGTTTTAACATCTGTCAATGAGCCTGCATTTGAAGGCACCAGGGTGAGGTCTGATTCAGTGATGGGATTCAATTTTTTTTACTACCAGTTCTGTGGGCGTGGCTTGGTGGGCGTGGCAGGGGAAGGATACTGTAAAATCTCCAGTCGGAGGTGGGATTTGCCAGTTCTCCGAACTACTCAAAATTTCTGCTACCGGTTCTCCAGAACTGCTCAGAACCTGCTGAATAACACCTCTGGTCTGATTCATAAAAAGAAATGGGAGGAGTTATTTTGGAGAAACACCTGACAGATGTTTCTCCAAAATAATAATCCTCATCATCCTTTCTCTCTCAAAAAAAAAACCTCAATGTCAAGAATCAATATCACAGTTAAGTTCCAGTTCAGAAGATTTATTACTCAAGCCTATGTACAAGAATATGATCAACTAATGATCAACATTAAATTGGCATTAGATAAGAGTTTGTGGAATTCAAGTAGAGGCTGGACCTGGAGCATTTGTGAACATGTAATGATTCTAGGCTGAGCCCTCTCTTGACTCCACCCCCAGGCTCTGCCTGCTCTTCTTCTAAAGTCAGGATGTTATGAAGAGAAAGGATTCAGGTGGAAGTTGCATTGCTTACCTTCATTAAAAGAGGGAGGGAGGGAGGGAGAGGGAGAGGGAGAGGGAGAGAGAGTCAGAGTCAGATACTAAGATTATGTGTGTGAACACCTGTGATAATATGGCCCCTTATATCACATCCAGTGTCTCAAAATCATTGGGCCCCTTATTAGCAAACTTTTGCCTCTATTACTGTCAGTGATTGCAGATCAGCTATTAAAGATTACAAGAATGTAATGATCTTACAAAATTTTATGAATGTAGCAATTTTAACTGTAGCAGTGCTATGGGGAACCAGTAGATTTGCTCTATTACCAACTAAACCCAGATTGTTATTGTTGTTATGATATCCAGTCACGTTTTCATTCATTGACCACTTTGTTCCCAGTTCCTCCATCAATCTATGTATGGAAATTTGCTATCCACCATAGTATTTCCTTAGCTTTTATCTGATTTACTCACATGATGTTGGCCTTTATTGTGTACTAAATGCCAGTGATTGCATGTTCAATTACTGTGTATTATTGTTATTGTTATTAATTATTGCACAGTCAGCCAGATATTCAGACTGGGTGTGGCATTTTTGTCTACCTATCGAGTCCTTACCAAGGGCCTGAGATAGGCAGATGTGGATGTTTGATAGCATTACAGATATCATTGCAGTTCCCAGTGAAGCTGCCTTCTGCAATTGACTGATGGCGAATATGTCAATGCCGATGGTGTTCAAGTGGTGCTCCAGTTGTTTTGGGATTTCACCCAAGGCACCTATTACTATTGGTACTACCCTTGCTTGCCTTTGCCACAGTCATTCTATTTCTATTTGTAGGTCTTTGTATTATTATTATCTTCATTATTCCTTTCATTGTTTACTTATAAACCAGAGTTATTGGGAGTTGGGCAGTATATAAATTTAGAGGTGAAGGAGGAGAAGTATTCATATTTATAGGAGCTGTGGTGGCACAGTGGTTAGAATGCAGTACTGCAGGTTACTTCTACTAACTGCCAGTTGACAGCAGTTTGTCAGTTCGAGTCTCACCAGGCTCAAGGTTGACTCAGCCTTCCATGGTCAGTAAAATGAGGACTCAGGCTGTTGGGGGCAATGGCTGTCCACTTAGAGAGGGATGCAAAGCACTGTGAAGTGATATATAAGTCTAAGTGCTATTGTCATATTGTAGCTTGGTAAGGTATTCATACCTAAGATGTTTTTCAGTTAAAACTTAAGAGTGCAGAGGGGAAAATCTGGGTCTCCAATAGGCTGCTGCATAAGACAGGGGAAACTGTATGTTGTGGAATGTAAAGTTAGGGGATTATGAATCAATGGCCTAGCTGGAAGCTACTCTAGGCTTCTTTCAATCAAACCCAGGTTGATACCTTGTGACAAAGTGGCAAATTGGTAATGCAGCCTAAGTATTTTGTTGGCTTCCAGTGACTTTTTCCTACCTGGGAATGGGAGGAAAGACCCCCCCAAACCGTAATCCTACTCTCCTATCTCTTGCAGAAGTACTGATTCTATCTCACCAGGAAGCATGATTTAACCTAATCCAAAGGAAATGCTTTTCAGGTTTGGGAGGGAGGAGGGTTTGTTCATAGTTCTGAGACTGAAGAGGAGGAACTATGGACCCCACAGAAATGGGAAATGGATCGTCCCAAGCAAGTGATCCTGGTGCTAAGAGATTAATCCCTTTTGGAGGGCAGGGAGAAGTAAAGAGTTCCTCATTAGTCACCATCCCTGTCACTTCCTGAAGAGGACATGGGTTGGATGCAGCTGGTTCAAAACCTACTTAGGAACACAATAGTTTTGTCCTAGACTGTGAACAAGAGATATGTATGTAAGTTAATGCCCCTTGCCAGTTTAAACTCTTCCTTTAAAGGAGGACGAAGACATTAAAAACATTTGTTTACGTTTGAAAGAATTAACTATCAATAAAGGAGAATATTTGTAGTTCAGGGTTGAAATGAGGGGTCCTTGGTGCTCTGAGCTTGCTTGTTTTCTTGCAAAATTTTCATCACCCTAACTAGATATCAGTGCTAGAATTACCTATCTTTAAATATTAGAGAAGTAGTACAAGAAAAAGACAACGTTCAGAGGGAAAAGCAAAGGGAAGTGGAAAGGAAAAGAGGTGACATTATTTATGTTGTAATTATTAACTGAGCTGGATATTGGGCCAATGTTCACAAAAACAGGCCAACTGTTAGAAATGTTCCCAGCCAGTGATCAATGATCAAAAAGCAGAAGGGCCTTAGGAGAATCACAAAATGCACATTTAAGTGGGTTTTTCTAGGCAAAGACAATCCTGTATCTTTACCAAGGAAAAGTGTATGAGCATTATAGAGAAAGCAGCACATGCTCTGAACTGGGCAATGGAAAGTCTAAAAATTTATCTGGGGGTCATGAATTTTCAGTAATCACAGACCACTAACCATCAGACTGCAGGCACTAATAGAAGATTTACACGCTCTTACTTGACCCTGCTGGCATACAAATTTGTTATATAGTACCAGGCAGAAAAGCAATTGCCAAAATTAGCAATTGCCAAATTGCTGATTTTATGGCATTGATACAGAGATATCTACAATATCTGTAAAAGAGCCACTATTGACACATGGGAAATTCCTGGGGAAGAAAGTAGGAGGATAAATGGCTTGTAAAACTAGACACATCCTGGAGAGTCCTGGTTTATTTAACAATAGTTTCTTGAAAAAGCCACTACAGGCCAGGTCTTCATATTAGATAATCCAGGTTATGGCTTAGACGAGTACAAGGTGTGAAATATGTCACTGGGTTCAGCGGTACTTTCTCTCAGATAAAATGCATTCAATTGATGTCTTAGAAGAAAAATAAATATAAACCTCAACATATTTTACTTTTTAAAAAAGTGATTTTTTAATTCAGATTAGATTCGAAGTTTGGACAATCAACCCCGCAGGTCACATGATCGTATTTTGGGTGCCCAGAACTTGGCCTGCATTTATGGCCATTTGCAGTGTCTTGTGGTCATGTGATCATGATTTACGACTTTTCTGCAGGAAATTGATGCTTTCTTGCAGACAACAGGATCACTTGTCAATGGATTCCCTTAACGATCGTCATAAAAAATGTCATAATTCTAGGCCCAATTAGGGTCGCAAATCTAGGACTACCTACTAGAGAAGGGACCTATTTTTTTTTTCTAAAGGTCTTTTTTAAAATAGCTTCTTGTAAAACCTTTTTTACTCTAGAAAACATCAGAGATAAGTGTTAATGT